CTCCCATGAGCCGTTGCTGTTATCCCAGCAGAGCGAGCAGAAAGGGAAAATGAAAATATGAAAGCTCCCACAGATTGTGACTGCATACATGGAACTTACAAGGGAAAGAAAAAATATATTTTTTCTTCATACTTCTATTTTCTTCAGATGAAGTTCCTACCCCCCACCCCAACACAAAGGAGCGCTCTAAAATCTAATTGTGACATATGACATAGCTTCCCTTTCAGGGTAAGCAACATTATGCAAAGTGTAGAAAAGGAGTAAGAAATATTAGTCCAAAAAAATTAAAGCTACTCATTTTTCTTTCATATACTTTTTTAAATATTTCAGTTCTCAATCATTTTCTGTATGTGAACAAACCATCTGATATACTTTTTTTATATGCTCAACTTTCATACTCACTTCACATTCATTCAGCACCATTCATTCTTGACCCTATCTCTTCTTGTTTTCACATAAACACTTCAGTACAGGTAGTCCTCACTTACCGACTACTTGTTCAGCAACCGTTCAAAATTACAATGATGCTGAAGAAGGAGACCTACGACCAGTCCTTGAAATTGTAGCTGTCCCCATGGTCACATGAACAAAATTCAGGCACTTGGCAAACGGCACACATTTACAATAGTCACAGCTTCCTGCGGTCGTGTGATCACCATTTGTGACCTTCACAGGCAGCTTCCGACAAGCAAAATCAATGGGGAAGCTGGCAGGAAGTCACAAGTCGTGGTCATGTGATGTCATGCTTAACGACCACATGTGATTCAGTTAACTGCAGCCAGAACTGAGGTCATAAGTCAACATGGTCACATGACAGTTCACTTAACAACCACACTGCTTATTGATGGAGTTGCTGGTTCTAGTTGGAGTCAGTAAGTGTGGACTACTTCTACCTTTTTTTCCCCACTTCGTCCAATTTCCCATTATGTTTCTTCTGGTTCAGCCAACTCTTACTTCCATGTAGCATCTTGACTGTGTCATACATTGCACATACCTTCGAGATGGTAGAACACAGTCAATGGTATATTGGCTTGTAAGGTCGTCTCTAGATTAGTGATTCTAACATGCATAGAATATTATGAATGTGTTTGGGATAACTTGGCTTTAGTTGCTGTTGTGGCATACTGGCCAAAATGTGCCAAAACTAGCCAATACTGCAGGGAATGCAGCATGTGACACAGTTAATGATAAGTTAACCTAGTAAATACTTCTCTATCATACTAAAAAAAGGTTACCTGAAAGTGTCTTTGACATAAAAGAATTGTGTATTACGGTGAATATCATGAAGTTATTCACCATGCAGTGAATGATCCAAACAACTCCTTATGACTGAGGTTTGCAGGACAAACATCATTTAATTTTTCTGTATTAAGTGTCTGTTACCTTCCCTGTTCCCTTGGTTATAATTCAGATAAATATATAAATAAGCCTAAATTGTAAGCCATTGCCTGTTTCACAGTAAGTGGATATTTTAAGTCAAAGCCATAATTCTAACATACTGCTTCACTCAGAGATAACAGTGCTTCCTTCATATATAAGTTGACCCCACACACATTCATTTTCTTTTCTATGTGCTAAGTGCCTGAGCTGCTTATTGTTAATTGTTTTAAGCTGTGAAGTTAAGGAAACATTATCTAAATAACTAACAAACAAAAAGCTGATTCTAAGACTCTCATTCACAGATGCTCCATTCTCTTTTATTTTTGTGCATTTTGGTGCAGATGCCTTCAACTGCATTTCATTTAAGAGTTCTAGAAAGTTTCTAGCTACTGCATCAAAAGTTTCTTCATCCAATATCACTAAATTATTTGGAGAAAAAACTTAACATATGTAATCTATCAGAATGTTATATACAGTCCATTTTCCCTTAAGTTCTCAGAGCAAAGAGATATGGTTGTTACCTAATGTCATGTCCCAGTGCAGGAGGTTTTACATGACTTCTACCACCACCTCTTGTTGGAAGGGGTGGACAGGGGGATATTTTTATACAGGGTATATCCTGTTTGTTATTTTTACTTCTATTGACCACCACGTGACAGGATGCAACATATGTAACAACTTGAAACCAAAAAGGAGCCATCGATGGACATGACCAAATCGTATGTGTCAGAGAACCCTCAAATTTCTTGTAGTACCAAAACAAGAAGTGTAATAAGAGATTTTTGCAGCCAGCATATCTGGGCTGCAAAAATTCAGATGACCAGTAGATAATCCGACCTCTCTTCCATCATGAGGTAGACTAGATTTTTGCATTCCAGATCTGATAGCCCTAGTTCTCTTAATATTTCTATAATAACAAGGAAAAAAAGATGACCTGGAATTTAATGAGTTCCTGATTACAAATCCAATACCTTCAACATCTGGTATCATTCAAGGTATTAAAAGAGTTTTAGGAATGCGCATTGGTTTTATTCTAGGAGAACCAAAGCAGCTGACAGTTTCTCCAGTCATTGCTTTTGAATTTCCCTACATGGGAAATGTGTGGTATTCTGTTTTTGAAGGTCAGAAGAAAACACTGTCTGCAGAGACAGACCACTTTTCAGATTCAAATATTGCATACAAAATTATTGCTATCACACAGTTACCTACAATTACTTTGTTTCATACGGACAATATGCCATATTTACTATCTTTGTTGGTATGTTATGTAGAATAAAGTCATGAATGTATAGATAGGTATACAGTATTGTGCAAATGTTTTAGGCAGATGTGAAAAAATTCTGTAAAGTAAGAATGCTTTCAAAAATATATATATTGTAATTGTTTATGCTTATCAATTTACAAAATGCAAAGTGAGTGAACAGAAGAAAAAACTAAAG